TGGGGACCTGCTGCTCCGTCCGTCCTTCCCGGGAATTTTGGGGAGGGGGAATTTCACCCCCCCCCCTCATTCCAGCGGTCATTCCAGAGCATCCTGACTCGGCAATTCCCAGGATTTCCCCCCCAAAGTTCCCACCTGGACACCCCAAAACTCCGCGGTTTCACCCCAAACCTCGCCCTGCGGGGGTTGCAGCGCCGAGAAGGGCGGGTGGAATTTTCGGGGTGACCCCCGAGACCCCACCCCTGCGCCGTTCCCCACCCCCAAAGCCGGGAAATCGAGGTGAAACCCCCCAAAATCGGGTCCGGGCTGGAATTTTCCCGGTGGTTTTTGCGTCACCCTGAAGCTGCTCCGCGCCGGCCCCGCCTTCTGGGGGGGTTTGGGGGATTTTGGGGGGTGCTGAGCTCTCACCCTCTGTGTTCTCTTGCAGATCCCCCCAATTCTTCCTCTTCCTCCTCCTCTTCCTCCTCCCAGCCCGTTTCTCTCTTTGCGGCTTCACCAGGCAAGTCTCCCCATCCCTCTTTTCTCTTTTTTTCCTGCACCCCCAGGAAGAAAAATGTCTGAGGGGGGCGGGGGGGTGAAGCCCAGACCCTAAAAAATCCCCCTGGATTTTGGGGAAGGGTCCCCAGAGCCACTCTGGGGACACCCAGAGCCATTTCGGGGCTCCCCAAGGTCACTTTGGGGTCTCAGTGTCACAGCAAAGGGGAGATTTCTCCCCAAAATAACCCCTGGATTTTGGGGGTCTCACCCGTTTCTTGAGGGGGGGGGAGCACAAACACTGCTGAGCCCCCCCATAATGACAACAAAGGGTTAAACTCCCCCAAAATAGACATTTTTCTTTTTCTCTCTTTTCCTGCTCTTTCACTCGGTTTCTTCTCCCTTTTTCGGGGTGAGCCCCCCCAGCTTTGCCCCCCACTCCCTCCTGCACCCCAAAACTGCTGCTTCCCCCCCAGCTTTGCACGGCCCCCCCCCCGCTGCTGCTGAAGGTGAAATTCGTCGTTTTTTGTGGTTTGGCCTCAAAATTCCTGCGCCCCCCACCCCCGACCCGCCTGCGCCGTGTCCCACCCGCCGCCGGGGGGGCTTCGTCTGCCCCCCCGGGCTGAACCTGGGGGGAGAGACCCCAAAATCCCCCCCAGATCGAGGAGGGGCTGAGCGGCACCCCCAGCCTCGCTCCAGACCCAAAACTGGGGGGTTTAACCCCAAAAATGAGAGGGTTTCGCCCCGGATGGGAGGTTCTCGGTGGGGGCACCCCCAGTTTTGGCGGGTTTGGGGTGTCCTGCACCCCCACATCGTTCTGATCCCAAAGCGAGGGGTTTTAACCCCAAAATGGAATTTGGGTTTGTCCCAAAATGGGCTTTTTTAGCCCCAAACTGGGGTCTCTCCTCCCCAGATTTTGGGGTGTTTTTGGGGGGGTTGGGGGAGCCTCTGTGCCGCCGCTTCACCCCCACCTGCATGGGGGGACCCCCAAAATTCAGTGGGGGACCCCAAACCCGTCCCCACGCATGGCTGAGATTGGGCGAACCCCTGAATTTTAGGGAGGGGCTTTCCCCAGCATGGCTGGAAGGGGGGTGGGAGGGGGGAACCCCAAAATTCTGCGTGGGGAACCCCAAAACCGCCCCCTCCCCCTGGCATGGCTGACCCCAAAATTTCCTGTGGGGGAGGGGACACCCAGGGCACCCCCAAAGGGGGGGAGGGGAATGTGTGGGGGACCCCCAAACCCGCCCCCCCAGCATGGCGGGGATGGGGGGGACCCCAAAACCCCCACGGGCGTGTGGGGGGCAGGAGGCCACGGGAGAGTGGGACGGAGCTGGGGGGACCCGACCCCCCTGACCGTGCCCCCCCCCCCCCTCAGCGGCACCGGGCGGGCGCGACCGGGGGGCGGCCCCGGGCGGGGGGATCCCCCCGAGCCCCCCGGAGTCGCCGGAGTCGCCGTTCGAGGTGGTCCCGGACCGAGCCGCCTTCGACCGCGAGTTCGGCCCCGCGCTCGGCCAGATCCCCGAGGGCCGCGTCTGCCACTTCCCGCCCAAGCCCCGCGGCGGCCCCGGTGTGCCCGGTGTGCCCGGTGTGCCCGGTGTGCCCGGCGGCGGCCCCGGGGTCCCGGGGCGCGGGCTGGCCCGGCCGCCCCCCGGCTCGGCGGCGGCGCTGGAGGAGGTGTCGCGGTGCGTGCGGGAGATGCACAGCTTCACCAGCGAGCTGCTCTCCTGGGACCTGGTGGAGCGCGGCACCGGCGGCACCGGCGACACCGGGGACGGCACCGGGGACGGCCACGGCGGCGGCGGCACCGCGAACGGCGTTGGCAAAGGCGGCACCGGGGTCACCGGCGCTGGGAATGGCATCGCTGGCATGGGGAGCGGTGGCACCGGTGTCACCGGTATCGGGAGTGGTGGCACCGGCACCGGGAGCGGCGTCACCGCCGTGGGGAATGGCATCGCTGGCATTGGCAATGGCATCGGGAGCGGCCCCGGTGGCATCGGGAGCGGTGTCACCTGTACCGGGAGCGGTGTCACCTGTACCGGGAGCGGTGTCACCGCTGTCACCGGCAGCAAGAGTGACGTCGTCACCGCCGCTGGGAACGGCCTTGCTGGCACCGGGGGTGTCCCCGGCGGTGTCCCCGGCGTAGGGGGTGGCCCCGCCGTCCCCACCGACGCCGACAGCTCCGGTGACTCTGACGACACCGTCATCGAGGAGGCGCCGGGCGAGGCCCCCGGGGCTGTCCCCGGTGTCCCCGGGGCTGTCCCCGGGGCTGTCCCCGGTGTCCCCGGTGTCCCCGGGGCTGTCCCCGCCGTCCCCAGGGATGTCCCCGCCGTCCCCAGGGATGTCCCCAGGGATGTCCCCGCTGTCCCCGGGGCCGTCCCCGGGGCTGTCCCCGTCCCCTCCCGGGACCGGAGCCTGCGGGAGCTCGGGGAGCCCCCCCGGCCCCCCCCGGCCGCGCCCCTTCCCCACCTGGCAGGTAAAGCCCCAACCGGGGGAAGGGGCTGGGAACGGGCCCGAGACGGGGAAAGGGGCGGAGGAACGGGGAGACCCCCGCCCCACGCGCTGCTGGAGGGGGGGCTCAGGAGCGCCTCGGTTTGGGGTGAAATTTGGGGATTTGGGGCCAAACCCGCTGGCACTCTGCAGGGGGGGTTAATTAGCGCCTGTTCTAACTAGGGGGGTGTAATTAGGGGTTGTGCATAACGAAGGGGCTGTTTTAATGAGCTTTAGTGAGCGAGGGTAATTAGTGGATTGGGAGGAAGAGGGAAGGTGGCATCGAGCTCAGTTTGGGCTAAATTGGGGTGGGGATGAGACAGGGACCCCCCGTGTCCCCTCATTGTCCTTCCTGGTGTCCCCTCACTGTCCTCGTGGGACCTGGCCTTGTCACCCCGTGTCCTCCTTGTTCCCCTCGGTGTCCCCTCCATCGCTCCTCACGTCCTCCTTTGTGTCCCCCTCATGTCCCCTCCTTGTCCCCCTGTATCTCCCCCTTGTCCCCCGTGTGACATGTCCCCATGTGACGTGTCCCCGTGTGACACGTCCCCCCGTGTCACCGTGTCCCCATGTGACGTGTCCCTGTGTGATGTGTCCCCCTGTGTCACCGTGTCCCCGTGTGATGTGTCCCCGTGTGACGCGTCCCCCATGTCCCCGTGTGACATGTCCCTGTGTGACGGTGTCCCCCTGTGTCCTCCTGTGTCACCGTGTCCCCCGTGTCCCCGTGTGACGGTGTCCCCGTGTGATGTGTCCCCGTGTGACGGTGTTCCCCCGTGTCAATGTGTCCCCCGTGTGACGCGTCCCCCATGTCCCCGTGTGACATGTCCCTGTGTGACGGTGTCCCCCTGTGTCACCGTGTCCCCCGTGTCCCTGTGTGACGGTGTCCCCGTGTGATGTGTCCCCGTGTGACGGTGTCCCCCCGTGTCAATGTGTCCCCGTGTGACGTGTCCTCCCGTGTCACCGTGTCCCCCGTGTCCCTGTGTGACGGTGTCCCCGTGTGATGTGTCCCCATGTGACGTGTCCTCCCGTGTCACCGTGTCCCCCGTGTCCCCGTGTGACAGTGTCCCCCCGTGTCAATGTGTCCCCCGTGTGACGTGTCCTCCCGTGTCACCGTGTCCCCCGTGTCCCCGTGTGACGTGTCCCCGCTGTCGCAGCGCTGCAGGAGCTGCTGTTCTGGCGGGACGTGAGGAAGAGCGCGGTGGCCTTCGGCGCCAGCCTGGTGCTGCTGCTGTCGCTGGCCACGCTCAGCGCCGTCACCGTGGTGGCCCACGTGGCGCTGGCCCTGCTCTCGGTCACCATCAGCCTCCGCGTCTACAAGGCCGTGGTGCAGGCGCTGCAGAAATCCGAGGAGGGGCACCCCTTCAAGTGAGCGCCCTGGGGACCCCCGGCTGGGTTTGGGGGCGGGGGGCTCGGGGACACGGCCAGCCCCGCTTGGGGACACGGCCAGCCCGGGCTCGGGGACACGGCCAGCCCCGCTTGGGGACACGGCCAGCCCCGCTTGGGGACACGGCCAGCCCAGGCTTGGGGACACGGCCAGCCCGGGCTCGGGGACACGGCCAGCTCGGCTTGGGGACACGGCCAGCCCCGCTTGGGGACACGGCCAGCCCTGCTTGGGAACACGGCCAGCCCCGCTTGGGGACACGGCCAGCCCCGCTTGGGGACAGCACTGTCACCGCAGGGGGACACTTGGGCTGGCCTGGCTGCTCTGGGTGGGGACAGGGTTGGGGTGCAGGGGGGTTTGGGGTGGGGATTTTGGGGTCCTGAGGGGTGTGAAGGAGGATTTTGGGGGTGTGGATGGGGATTTTGGGGTCCAGAGGGGTGTGAAGAAGGATTTTGGGGGTGTGGATGAGGATTTTGGGGTCCAGAGGGGTGTGAGGGAGGATTTTGGGGTGTGAGGAAGGATTTTGGGGTGTCCCCACTCCAATTTCTGACCCAGACCTGACCCTATGTCCTGAGACCTTCCGGGGCATGGAGGGGTGAAGATGGATTTTGATGTTTAGACACAAACTTAGGGGCGCAGACACAGATTTTGGGGTTCAGGGCGGGGATTTTGGGGCTCCCCTCACCTGTCCCCCCCACCTCCCCAGAACTTACCTGGACCTGGACGTGACCTTGTCCCCCGAGACCTTCCAGGCGCACGCGGCCGTGGTGGCCCGGCGCCTCAACCGGGGCCTGCAGCTGCTCATCCGCCTCTTCCTGGTGGAGGATCTGGTGGATTCTCTGGAGGTTCGGAGCCTTCCTCCCCCTCCTCCTCCTCCCCCACCCCAAAACCCCCCCGGGACCCCCCAAAACCTCTCCTGTGCCCCCCCAGCTCGCCCTGACCATGTGGTTGATGACCTACGTGGGAGCCGTTTTCAACGGCATCACCCTCCTCATCCTCGGTGAGACCCGCCCCTTCTCCCCCTGAAATAACCCCCAAAAGTGTGATTTTGGGGGTGCTGACCCCCAAAATTAGCGCTGAGGGGGGGGTTCCCCCCAAATAACCCCCTCCCCCTGTTTTTCCCCAGCCGACATCTTGGCCTTCACCCTCCCGCCCCTCTACGAGAAATACCAGGTGAGCCCGAACTGAGCAGACCCCCCCCAAAATCAAGGGGGACACCCCAAAATCAAGGGGACACCCCCAGAAACGGGGGGGCACCCCTGAAAACCCCATTTCCCCCCACTCCAGGTGCAGATCAATCACTACATGGGCCTCATCCGCCAGCAGACCAAGGACCTCATGGCCAAGTAGGCGCTCAGAGGGGACCCCAAAATCCTGGGGACCCCTCCCCAAAATCCTGGGGACCCCCCCAAATCCCTGTGACCTCCCCAAATCATCTCTCCCCCCCTCTCTCTGTAGGATCCAGGCGAAGCTCCCGGGTCTGGTCAAGAAGAAGCCGGAATAAACCCCAGGATGGGGGAGGGGAAATTTGGGGGTACCCACAGCGGTGCCCCCCCCACTCCAAGCTTGTCTTTCCCCACCCCCCCAAACTCCACCCACCCCCCCAAATTCGTTCCCTTCCCCCAGTCTCACAGTGACGTCCGTCTGTGCCCCCCCCTCTTGAAACTGGGAGGGCTGAACCCCAAAATCGCCTCCCCTGGGTTGGGTCCCCCCGGGGGGGCCCCCCAAGCTCGTTCCTGTCCCCCCCGTTTTATTTTTTTAACGTTAATTGAGGTGAAATGTCTGTAACTGCTGTAAATGGGGGAGGGGGGGCTCAGCCCTCCCCACAGCCCCCCCAAACTGCGCCCCCCGAGCCCCCCCTCGCTGAGAGGGGGGTGGGAAATGGGGGAGACCCCCCCCCAAATCCACCCGCGGGGCTGCGGCTACAATAAAACACCGCCACAAGGCTGGGCCCCTCTGTGCTGGTGACACCCCCGGAATGTCCCCGGGACCCCCCAAAATGTCCCTGGGACCCCCAAAATGTCCCCGGGACCCCCCAAAATGTCCCTGGGACCCCCAAAAGGTTCCTGTGATCCCACCCCCAGAATGTCCCTGGGACCCCCCACAAAAAGGTTCCTGTTACCCCCCCAAAAACGTCCCCCCCGAGTTGTCCTCGTGTCCCCTCAGATGTCCCCATTCTCCCACCCCAAAATGTCCCTGGGACACCCCCGATGTCCCCAAATGTCCCCATGGCCCGGGGGGGTCTCTGGGGGGTTTATTGGGGGGTCGTGTACAAGGTGGGAGGGGTGTAAAAAAAACGGGGTGGGGGGACACAGACATAAATAAGGGGACACCGGGGGGTGGGGGTGACACCGGGGGGGTGACACCGGGGGGTGACACCGGGGGGTACAGGAGTGGCTGTGTTGTGGTGGGGGGGAACTGGGGACACTGATGGGGGGGGGTCTCTGGTGTCCCCGCTGCCCCCCTGGGGTGTCCCCTGTTGTCCCCACCCCCTCCCAGTGTCCCCATCCCGGGGGGGCTCAGGCGGGGGGGGCTCCTGTGGCCCCCTCCCCCCCTGCGGCCTCTTCCTCCTCCTCCTCCTCCTCGGCAGGACCGGGGGCTGGCAGGGCTGGGGGGGACAGCACTGTCACCTCCTGTCACCTCCCTGTCCCCCACAGTGTCCCCTGCGTCTGTCCCCACCCGCTCCCAGTGTCCCCAAAGCTTCCAGCACCCCCCCGGTGTCCCCAGTGCCACCCGCCCCAGTGTCCCCAGTGTCCCCAGTGTCCCCAGTGTCCCCAGTGTCCCCGGCTCCCCCCCACAGCCACCACTGTCCCCATATCCCAAACCCTCCTTGATCCCGCTCACTGGGGCTTTCCCTGGGGGTGGCACTTTGTCCCCAGTGTCCCCCTGTCCCCTCTCACCGGGGCTGTCCCCACCGTGTCCCCCCCAGTGTCCACGCTCACCGGTACCGTCCCCGTCCCCGCCGTGTCCCCGGTGTCCCCGCAGGCTGCCGGGGTGCGCGGCCAGCGCGTGCCGCCGGATGTCCCCGAGGTGCAGCGAGGGCAGGGCGCGGGCGCACAGGAGGCAGCGCAGCCGCAGCCCCCCGGCCTCCAGGTCCAGGCGCAGCTCGGCCCGCAGCCAGCGCCGCAGCGGGGACAGCGGGGGACAGGGCCCTGCGGCGGGGACGGGCTGTCACCCAGGGGGGACAGAGGGGACAGGGCCCTGCGGTGGGGACGGGCTGTCACCCAGGGGGACAGAGGGGATGGGGCCCTGCAGTGGGGACAGGCTGTCACCCAGGGGGGACAGAGGGGATGGGGCCCTGCAGTGGGGACGGGCTGTCACCCAGGGGGGACAGAGGGGACAGGGCCCTGCGGCGGGGACGGGCTGTCAGCGATGGGGGACAGGGGGGACAGAGGGGACAGGGCCCTGCGGCGGGGACGGGCTGTCACCCAGGGGGACAGAGGGGGACGGGGTCCTGCGGTGGGGACGGGCTGTCACCCAGGGGGACAGAGGGGGACGGGGTCCTGTGGTGGGGACGGGCTGTCAGCGATGGGGGACAGAGGGGACGGGGTCCTGCGGTGGGGCCAGGCTGTCACCCAGGGGGGACAGAGGGGACGGGGTCCTGCAGTGGGGATGGGCTGTCACCCAGGGGGACAGAGGGGACAGGGCCCTGCGGTGGGGACGGGCTGGGGGGATGCACTGGGGACCCTGGGGACAGGTCCAGGGCCAGTGGGGACACTTTGAGGACCTTGGGGACCCCTCGGGGACAGGCCCAGGGCCATTGGTGACAATTTGGGGACTCCTGGGGACAGGCCCAGGGCCATTGGGGACACCTTGGGCACACTTTGGGGACCCGGGGCTGGCACTGCGGTCATGGGAGGAGCCCCAGAGAGGGGCGGGGCTGAGGGACTGGGCGTGGTCGGGCGGGGCCTGTCTTAAAGGGACAGTGTCCCTTTA